GTATATGTGTCTATGGTTGACTCATTCCCATTTTTGGTTGGCCAGGATTTTATAAATCGCTTTGACGCGATTATAGATTATGGTACACAGACAATGTGGGCTAGAGTGAGCAAACCCCTGCCAATTTTCATGCCTCCTGAGACAGTCACAGACTGCCCAACAGCAGGCACTGCAGAAGGCACCGAGGACCTCTCGACAGGGAACACGATCCCGGTAAGTAATCCTTCAAAAGCATGTGGAACTGAAAACACCCAACTGGTGAACCCGACTCTGACTGAATTACACAGCCTCCTCTGCGAGCTGAAACAGTCAGGGCCCACCGAATACTACCTACCATTGGTAGTTCAAGGTGTCGAGATCCAAGGATCCCACACCAAAGATGCTGTACTGTCGTCGGGGACAGATAAACCAGCTATAAAGGACGGAGCCATGATGGCCTTAAGAGGTCCTCTGACCCCTCCAGGCTGCTCGCAACTCTGCCAGTACAACCTACAGCCGAGGTGATGGCAGTCACACGTGCACAGGCTACAGCCAAGCCGGCTGACAACACAGTCTCTGTACAACCCGTGCTGACTGACCCAGACATCATCAAACTTCAGAAGTTGGATCCTGCAATAAACTCGATGATGCTGTCTTTGACTGACCCAGAGAAAAACACTCCGCCCGAAGCCAACCTGGATTCCGATCCAGACCCTAAAATCCTCTTTCAGCTGCGCAATCAGCTAAAATTACTCAAGGGCAACCTAACTTTAGCTCATGGAGCGACGTCCTCACCTGTATTCGTGGTCCCCCATGACCAAAGTGGGGTGACATTAGTTAGGGTAATGTTACCAGACGCGATAACGTGATCGAATCTGACAATCAGAGTGAGTGACCCACCGAAACTTTGTTTTCTAGTTGCTTAATTACTACTTTTGTCAATGTTGAAACGTTGTTTTTCTGGTTGCTTAGCCACTGTTTTGTCGATGTTGAGACATCGTTTAATTGGTTTTTGGTATTGTTTCTGAACACCCCCAGCAAGAATGAGTTTTGTGTGTATTTTAGTTAGAGACTAAGAGGACTTTAACTGTGTCAACATGCAGTTCATTTGTTAAAATGCAATCTTTGCGGATTCAATGTAGATTAATGCTACCTTAAGTACCATAATCTACATTGGTCTCACAACGCTTAAGCCAAACCTACTCGAACAATCCTATTTGGGGGGGGGGGGGGGGGGGCTAGCTAATCCTTCAGTTGAGTTTTGCCATAGACTCCAAAACATTTAGGGGAATACCAAAAAACAAAACCTCAAGTCGTTCGTCTAAAAGGACAACAGACAATTGAACCAAACTAGATTTTGCCATGTAAATCTAACTTAAACCAAGTTAGGAATGGAAAAATAGTTTGGAATGCCCTTCTATAGGTATAAATCCCTATATGAAAATTTTTCCGCATGACCCACCCTTTAAACTGGTAACTTTAGCTGATCTAAACCATGATAGCTTACACACCAGGTGCATATAGGTTAAGGTCTTATGTAAAATCCCAATCATAAGCCCAACTAAAACCACATAAATGCATAACACATAGAACCAGAATGGCACCCACTGGGAACCACCAGCAGCAACCTTCGCTGAAGGGACCTACAACACCAACGTGGGTCTCCAATCTTCACCCAGTGGTCGCCTCTGCAGTTCAATCGAGGGAACCCCTCTGCATGCTGATCAAACAACACCTCCAATCGTTGTGGATTTATCGTTGTGGATTATATGACTTTTTCCAATGGATTACAGACTTTGTTTCCAAGGGGTTAAAGCATGGCTACAATGGAATTGCCAACAACATTATGGAATTACCTAAACCGTTGTGGGATTACCTTCTTTGACTTTTGTTTTCCTCTTGCTAGATTACATCAAGCTCAAGGACATTCGGAGGCATAAGTTCACGTTTGAAATCATCCCCATGGACAGGCGATGATTTCCAAAGGGGGGACTTTAGTGAATTAGGCCTTCGATCAAAACCTGCCTCTGAAAACCTTCATGGGACAGGAACTGTTATTTCATTGATTTGAATCCAGAAATACAAATTAGCTCATCCAGAGACTTTCTAATTGTATCCTGAACTAATCAATTGAAAGAACACTCTCTTTTTTATATTATTAGTATTTTACAATATCTTGATAATCAAAAGTGTGTTTAGTTTATACCATTTTTAAATGTTGAAGTGAACCACTCATTTTAAATCAACTGTGAAACAGTATTAATGATTTTTTAATCCTCATTCAAATTAGAAATCAAGTTAGGGTAGGCAAGTATAAGCCTCGGCTTCAGCCTATTCCTTTTTTGGTAAATTATTGATTTGTCAAAAAGTAGTCTATATTGTTTTCCTTTTTCTGTAATGCTAATTTACCTAAATAAAGTTGAGTTGAGTTAAATGTCTATTTTACAAAGTAATTATGCATTTTTTGATCTTCTGTCTGAAATTAGAAGGAGTGATGTCGGTCAAAAGTCGGAGACAGTCCAAAACTAGTTGTTGGAACAAGCTGTCGTGTTTTTAAAGCACTCAGACAGTAAACAAGAGAACTGGCACCTGTGGTGTTTCTCACTTCGTCAAAACATTTCTCTGTCTGTTCCTAAACATTTCTGATGTTTTCTCGACTTGTAAAAACCCTTTGACGTCACTAAAACCACACCCCTGTTGGCTCCTTCAACCAAGCAGGACTTACTAAAAGTGACCGGAAGCAGAACTCTTTAAAAGTCTACACTTCCTGGAACTGTTAGTTCCGTTAGTTCATCTGGTTCTGATAGAGTTCGGCTGGAGTTCCTCTGAGTTCTTCTGAAGTTCTTCTGAGTCTCTTGGAGTATTGTGGAGTACTTCTGGGGTTTTTCCACTGCTGAATGGAACTTCGGACTCAGTTTTCCAGGCTGATGGAGTCATCCATCTCTGCAGGAGCCACGACGCCTCGCTGTGGCTCCACCCGGCGTATGCCCTATAACTGCTGAGGAAGTTTGTTCTGTGGAACGGATTATCTCACGACTTCTGCCGAGTCGCAGCCGCCCTGAGGAGACGCTGAAAGGTAGCGTGCCAGGGACCTCTTGACCGCAGCTGACCCATTCTCCGCCAAGGTAAAGAGTCGTCACTGGCTTCACTACAAGTGCACCACGGCGAGCTGCGTTTGAAAGGAGCGTGTTGTTCTGGTCTACAGACATACATCTTCCTCCACATTTTCTCTCCATTTAAACACCTTCATTTCCCATCTTTAAACTTCTATCTTGCCAGTAATTAATCCAGATGCCTTCAGAAATGTCTGTTGTTTTTATTAAGTAAAACATGCCAAGTTTTATTAATCAGAACCAGATCAGTCTAATCAAGTGTACAATGTTTTGAAGTTAAATTTTTATTCTGTTAATAAATGACCACATTTATTTTGATGGGTCAAAGAAAATTAACGTCTCATGTCACTGATTAAACCATCCACGCACAGTACATATGTCACATATCTGTCAAGTAGCTCAAAAAAGATAGAACCCGTTAATTTAAAATATGACTGTAGTGGAGCTCTGACGCTAACCAAGCCAATCGAGCCTTTTAGCACACTACAACTGCCCAGATCACAATTGGGTTAGAAGTGTAGGTTGATATTGATTGCTTAAAGGGCAGCTGAGAACACAGTAATGCAGAAGGAGAACTGGATCTAATTGAGGCCTTTTCCAGGGCTGCCCAACCAGGAGAAGGGGTGTCCTTACCTAACCAGAATAGTAGAGCTCTGATATTAGCTGCCCAGTAATAGTGCATCAAGTTAGGAAGTGACATGCCTCCAAGCCTGTGGGGCAGATGCAAGACTTTCCTGGCAATTTATGGATGCTTTTTATTCCAAATAATACGGATAGCTGCCTGTTCAGATTGGTGAAGAATGATTTAGTAAGGAGATTGGTAATTTTGCATATTCTGATATAAATATTGGTGCAATAGTAACAAGAGTTCTCTGCAACACTTACTATAATGCCATCAAATTGCACAGGATCTTTCTTTAAAAATTTGGCATGAAGGGCAGCAGCTTGTATGCATTCCTTTTATTGAGGAATGCTCCTATGCAAGTTGAACCGAAGCCACTTGGAATTCTTTTTTGATTTTTTTTTACATTTTGCCTCTTATCTGAGAAAGCTCCTCTGATTAAATTATTTTACTTATTTAGTATGAGAACAAAATTTTTTTTTTAAGAATAAAAAGGTCCACTGGCCTTTGATTCCACTTTTAGAAACGTTTTATTTTTTGGCTATTTGAATTAAGATGGTTTCACTGTTTCCAACCAACCACATTTATAAAATCCTGTTTATATATTCCCACTTTCTGAGTCTTTTCCTATAATACTTGCAGCTGAAGGAATACTGACCAGTGGTGACATTCCTTCATAATTTTTTTTACCTTCCTTTCATATTCAAATAGTGATTAAATAAATCTATCCATGCATCCATTATCTTTACCCGCTCCTTCCTTTTCGGGTCATGGGGGTCACTAGTGCCCATATCCATCAATCACTGTGCGAGAGGCACAGGATGAACTTCTGCAAGTCCATCACAGTGACACATAGAGACAAAAGAAACAAACCATCCACTCTCTCACTCACACCTAGGGACAATTTAGAGTTGCCAATTAGCCTAAATGCTAAATGTAACAAAAAACCTTATGTTTTTGATCTGTGGGAGGAAACTGGAGTACCTGGAGAAAACCAACATATGCACACAAAGATTATGCAAACTCCACCCAGAAAGGTCCCCAGCCGGGATTCGATCTGGCGACCTTCTCGTTGAGAAGCAGTAGCTCTACCAACTGTTCCACCGTGCTGCCTTAATTGTAGAAATTTGATTAAAATTACAGATGGCAGCTTATATTAAACGAATGGCTACTTTTTAATGGTGAAAAATGGCAAATGTTTGCTTTTGATCTGAACATACATTCATTCTAGTCATAAATCTGTTAGAAAGTGCTGATCTCAGATGGCATTTCCTGTTCTGTTTCAGGTTGGATCGCCATCTTGGGTGCCATTTGGCTTTTGGTTCTGGCTGACGTACAGGATTTTGAGATCATCCTGCACCGAGTCGAATGGGCAACGCTCCTGTTCTTCGCTGGACTATTTGTTTTGATGAAGGTATGTAAATCCTGACATTTTACCGGAAGTCTGTTGAATACATTCCACATTATATTATTATTACAATATCCATATTATGATTTTATTTTGCTTCTGTAGAATACTTTTCTGTGATTTTATTTAATCTGTAGTTTATCTTGTTCCTTTTATGGCTTATTTTTGCCCTTTTGATTCTGTTGTGTTTTCCTGTTCAGTTTAGATCGTTTGTGTTTTTGTATTTCAGTGTTAGGGTTGTATTTTGAGTAGTCTGGTTTAGGTCTTGTTTTATTTTCCAGTGTTTCTTGTGCCATCTTCTATTCACCCCTACTAAGCCTCCTCTGTGTCCTCCCAATCTGTCTGCCACCATCACCTGTCCCCATTCAGCATTCATCCCAGGTGTTCCCACATTCAATCCCACTCAGTTTTGTATGCATAAGGTTCCTTGTCTCCACCTCACCAGCGGCTCATTATCCTGTCATCATTGCAGATGTGTCGGTCCTCCTCCTGCTCCCTCATGTTTCCCTATTTTTTCCCTCCAGATTATTTGTATGTTTCTTGCTGATACATCAGCCTTTGTTTTCATTTGTTTAAAAGAATAAATCATTTTTTATTTTAATTAGCGGTCTGCCTGCATCTGTGTCCTACCATACACTGCCCATTATACCCAGCTTTCAGCAAGACTAGGTTGAAAATCAAAGGGGATTCAAAACAAGAACTGCTAACTAGCACCACATTTAAAACTCTGTGGCAAGCAATTTGTGTTTTTATTTGATATCCATTATATATAGTTTAGTGTAGTTGCCTCACAGCAAGAAGGGTACAGATTTACCGCCCAGCCTTAGTCAATTCATGTTTGCCCAGTGCATGTGTGGATTTTCACCGAGTAAGGGAGTGGTGGCGCAGAGGTTAGAGAAGGTGAGCCTGTGATTGGAAGATCATTGAATCAACTCCCGGTACTGACAACATCAAAATGTGGGTGAGAAAGGTGAAGCACCCACACCTGCCTCCACCCTCATTTGCCCCACTCTGGGCCCTTGAGCGAGGCCCTTAAACCCTTAACTCCCCATCTGCTTACCCGGGTGCCCTAGATGTCAGCTCTCTGCTCCACACAGAGGGTTGTGGTAGCTCGGTGGTCTGTGGTTGCGTCAGGAAGGACGTCTGGCTTTAAGAAAATGTTGCCAAGTCTTTGTGGGACTTAGTTTGCTGTGGTGACCCCCGACGAAAGGAGCAGCCAAAAGAAGGAAAAAATGTGTGGATTTTCACATAGTACTTGCTTTTCTTCCCAAAGACCAACATCTATGTTAGGATAATCAAAAATTTCCCAAGGTGTGAGTGAGATTATGAATAGTTGTCTTATTTGCCTCTATATGTCCCAATGTGACGGACTTGTGACCCGTCCAGGATGTACCCTGCTTTTCAAATAATAACCTCTGAAGATAGGCACCAGCTGCCCTGTGAGTCAGAAAGAAAATAATAATTAAAAAAAAGGGTAATAATTAAATTATTATCCAACATTTTTCAGTCAGGTCATCTGGACAGTTTCTTTTTTTTTTTTTGTGCTGAAACATTTCACCTTCGGTCCAGAAGGCTTCATCAGTCAATGAAACACACAACAAAACTGATTTTTTCCCTCAACAGCTTACTCCAAAGTGGAACAAACCAGTTCTGCTTGTGATAAGCACTGGCAGGGTCCAATGCTGACATGTTCCTGTTGTTAGTTTTCTACATTTGTCTTGGAATCTAGCTGTTTTTTGTTTTGTTACCTTTTCCTTTTAGCCATCCTATTTGTAAAAAAAAAAAAAAAAAAAACTGTAGTATGCTTTTTTATAACTGTTTATTGTTGTTGCTGTTGTCCATTGTTGTCATCTTTCTTTGTTGAAATCAGGTCTCTCTTGTAAATGAGTCCTCGAGGCTCAATGGGATTTACCTGTATAAATAAAGGTTGATTGATAAGATGGTCTCTTTGGTACGCCTCCTCTTCCATTGCCGGCCCTCTTCCTTGTTGACAGTCATGTCAAACTGGCTGAAAACAACAAAGTCCATGCGCAATGGAGGAGGGGGCGTACCGAAGAGACCATCTTATCACAAGCAGAACTGGTTTGTTCCACTTTGGAGTAAGTTGTTGGAGCAAGAATCAGTTTTGTTGTGTTTCCTTGACTGATGAAGCCTTCCGGACCAAAGGCGAAAGGTTTCAGCACAAAAAAAAAGAAACTGTCCAGATTACCAGACTAAAAAATGTTGGATTGTATACCTGGATTATTGAGCATGGACTTTGTTGTTTTCAACCAGTTTGACAAGACGGTCAACAAGGAAGAGGGCCGGCAATGGAGGAGGGGGGCGTACCAAAAAGACCATCTTATCACAAGCAGAACTGGTTTGTTCTACTTTGGAGTAAGCTGTTGGGGGAAGAATTAAATAATTGTGTTTCGTTTTTTTTATTTTTATTCCATGTGCTGTAAATATATCTTGTTACTTTTTATTTGATGTTGTGATATTTTTGTTAAGCACTTTGGTAACAGTTTCTGTTTTAAATGTGCTCTATAAATAAATCTGACTTGACTTGGCTTTACTTGACTTCTATTCAGATGACACCTGTAATTCTCTCATGTTCTTTTTTAATCATAATATCAGAAAAATTCATCAGCAACTTTGTCCTGTCTCTCCTCTTCCTCCCTCCTCTGAACCTTCTCCCCTCAGTCAGCATTTTTCTGTCTTTCAGCTTCCTCCTGCCTCTGAAATAGCCAAACTCATTCTGAAATCCAAGCTGTCCACATGTTCTCTGGTTCCTCTCCTATCAGTGCTTGTAAAATTTTGCCTTTTTCACTTCTCCCTATCATTTCTGCCATTATTCACTCTTCTCTTTCTTCAGGAAATGTTCCAACTATTTTCAAAACTGCAGTTGTCACTCTGATCCTTAAGAAGCCTGGATTGGATCCAAATATTTTCAGTAATCTTTGCCCTATTTCTAACCTTCCATTCATCTCTAAAATTCTGGAAAAAGCAGTAGCTTCTCAGCTCCACCTCCATTTAACCAAAAACAGTCTATACTAGGGCATTTACAGATTACTCAAGTAATCTACACATCGATTGCTAGAACATCTATCGAGGTTAAAAATGTAAGGTCGAGTGTCCGTAGTGACGTCATTATGTGACCACCGTATGACCGTAGGGGGCGGTGTTGCACTGCTGCAGGTCACAAAGTATGGTGTAACACCGGGTGCAATCCACCGAACCAGAACCAGCTTCCTCTTGTTTCACAAACAAAAAGCAAAAAATTTTCATCTCTAAACCTATAAAAAAAATCTATAAACATATTAATCTCTAAAACTAAACTTAATGCGCACCATTAATGGTTTAAACCCCCCCCCCCCCCCCACTGTTAAGTTTTGTTTTTGACGTGCTGCATTTCTTCACGTTTGCAGTTTAATAATAATAACTAATAGTTTAGTTTTTCCCGTGACTTATTTGCAGTATGATAAATGGTAGGAGCATAATATACGCTCCCAATGTTTTGTTGGTCTTTTTTTTGTAAATAATCACCTTCTTTTGCGGTTTTATTTATTTATTTATTTTTGTATCTTGAGATCTATGACGTCATCAAATACTCAAGTTCTACTTGGGTTTTATTATGTTAATGTCGAGTTTAAAAATTATATACTCGTTCAACCCCTAGTCTATACAAACAGTTCCAGTTTGGTTTCTGCCCCAGTCACAGCACAGAATCTGCTCTCCTTAGAATCACTAACACTCTTCTCATGGCAGCAGATTCTGGTTTACTTTCTCTCCTCGATCTTAGTGTGGCATTTGATATTATCTCCCACAACATCCTCCTCCACAGACTTTCATCCATTGGCATCACCCATACACCCCTCACTTGGTTTCAGTCATATATCTCTGGCCGCACTCAGTTCATCCAACTTAAATCATTCAGATCCCCCTCCTACCCCGTCACTTCAGGTGTGCCCCAAGGCTTTGTCCTGGGGTTCCTTCTTTTTTTCATCTACATTCTCCCCCTTGGCAATATCTTCCATTAATTTAACATTCACTTCCATTGTTTTGCCCATGACACCCAGCTCTTCTTATCCACTGCACCTAATTCTTCATTTCTTCCTTCCTCCCTCACTTCCTGCTTAGCTGAACTTAAATCCTGGTTTATATCTAACTTCCTTAAATTAAACAGTGATAAAACAGAGTTTCTACTCATCTGCACTAAATCCACCATATCTAAAGTTAAGTTTTTCCCTCACCATTGACAGCTCCATCGTTTCTTCCTCCCCTCACGTTAAGAGTCTGGGTGTCATTCTTGACAGAACTCTCTTTTTTCACTCCCACATCAATAATATAACCCGGTCTGCATACTTCCACCTTCGAAATATCAACCGTCTCCATCCATCCCTCTCCCCGCACTCTGTTTCCATCCTGGTCCATAGCTTGGTCATTTCTCGATTTGATTACTTCAACTCTCTCCTATTTGGTCTGCCGTAAAAATTACTTTGTAAGCTTCAAATGGTTCAAAATTCAGCTGCCCGCATCGTTACCAAAAAAGCAACTTCACTGGCTTCCAGTCAGTTTCAGAATTCAATTTAAAATCCTGTTGTACACATTCAAGGCCATCCATAACCTCGCCCCTCCCTCTCTGTCCGATCTCCTGCACTTTATCACCCATTCACGCTCCCTACGCTCTTCCTCTTCCATCCACCTCAACGTGCCTCTCGTCCACCTCAGCACCATGGGACACAGAGCCTTTTCTGAGTAGAAGAGACGCAGTGTCTCTAAGGACGTTGCATTTTGAGGGATGTTGGTTGGACGCTACAGGTGGAAGTGGTCTCCACCTACAAGTAGACTACTTCCTCAGGAGGCTGAGGTGAGCTGGTCTTGGAAGCTCAGTCCTCACCTGATTGTACAAGTGTGCAGTGGATAGCATTCTGTGCTCCAGCATCAACATGGGTCATGGGGGCTGCATAGCTGCAAAAAGGAAAGCTCTGCAGAGAGTGGTGAAGGCTACACAGAAGACTGTTGGATTCAGCCTCTCCACCATCACAGACATCTACTCCTCCAGATACAGGACATGGGCCACCTGTATCATGAAGGACCCCACTCACCCAGCACACACACTTTTTACCCCACTCTCCTCAGGCAGAAGTTTGCAGAGCATTAAGTGCAGAACCACCAGAATGAGGAACAGCTTCTACTCTGAAGCTGTTGGATGCATTAATCCCTAACCAGGATTATCACCGTAAATAATAAAAAAAAATTGCTGTAATTCAACCTTATTTATACAGGTTAATCCCACTGAACCTCGGGGTCTCATTTACAAGAGAGACATTATTTTAACCAACAGTGATGACAACTGTGGACAACAAATACAACCGTATACAATCACGAAGGATGCATTCAAATTGAGAACACCAAGTGAAATAAAATGGTGTTAAAAATGAAACAAAAAACAGTTAGGTTGTAAGGCGATGTAGAAAATTAAAAACAGGAACATTCCTGCATTTGGTCTTTGCCAGGAATTTAGCAGATGTTTGAAGCCACTTGGAGAGGTCAAGTTTTTTTTTCTTGGTACCCACATTTGAGTTAGGTCGTTTTCACACCAGATAGTCAGGTAGACTCGGTTCGGTTCGGGACCAATATTCATGACCTTTTGTTTACATTTGAGCTGGTACATTTGCATTCACACTGCACTGTGCAGTCGAGTCAACCTGTTGAACCAACCCATTCTCCCACTCGCCTGTGGGGGCGCTGCACCAAGAACTACTGAAAGAAACGACACAAAAACCTCTGAAGACACATCTTCTTCTTCTTCTGTAAATAAAAATAAAAACGAAGTGGCATCAAGTTTTAGCAATTTTAGGAGTTATATTTTGTCATTTTTCAAAAATGGACTTAGCATGAGCAGAAGATGGGACAGAAGACCATGGAGGATATTGTTTTTCACACAAGGCAGCTGACAGCTCCAAATAAGGTCAGAGAAATGCGTGTTTGTTTACCCTGCGGAGCGGGGCTCGGTCTGTTTACATTCACACTGTACTTGAACCGCGCTGGAGTTCGCTTCTACCGGACCGAGACCTAGGTTTTAGCCCGGGCCAGAGTTCGCCTTTTTGTTCCGTGACAAAGTTCAATGGTGCGTTCACACCTCCCTAAACGAACCGGACTTTCTAGGAAAATGAGCTAGAGTTCGATTAAAGCGGACTAAACAGGGCTAGTGTGAATGCACCCTTAATGTCTCCGGATTCTTTTTAAACATTGATCTTCTTTTCATTTTCCAGGCATTAGCCCAGCTGCAGCTTATCGATTTCATCGGAGAGCAGACAGCACTTCTTATAAAAGTGAGTCTTTCTTTTTATTCCTAGCCTCAGCCATCATCACTCAGATATCTTTGTAAGTGATGTTGATAATTGGGTATAAGTGACATGATATTGATTTTCATGCATATTGATCCTTTGGCTCTGCATATCTCTGAATTCAGTTATTTTGACAAGATCCATGTTTTGGTTTCACAAGTTCAGGAGGATGTTTTAACAAATTTTATTATGTTAAGATGGCAGGTGGTAGTCAGGATCATCTCACAGGACTGATCTAAAGAGTCCTAATACTGTTAGTAGGCTGTAGGTCTCAGAGAATGTGCAGAGTAGCAGGAGATTAGCCGTTAACCTTCTCAGATGGTTGAGGAGCATTTGGCGAAATGCAGAGCCAACTCCCAGAGATTGGAGGAGCAGTATCAGTGGTGGTAATGATGTCACCATAAGTGGTGGGCAAGCAGTTGGAGAGAGAGGCCTGCTGAGACTAGATCAGATAGAGGGAAAATCTTAATCATTGTCCAAGTAGTGGATAAAGGGTCATACAAGGGGAATCCGAGGTCAGAGAATTCATCCAGAGGGGAAACCCTAATCTGAAAATCAATGGGCAGAAAAAAGTTGCATTTGTGAAAATCAGATAAGCAGAACTAACCAGAAATGGAGCAGACAGGGTGGAGGATTCAGGAAACAGGCATGAGGTCATGACAAGAAAATCAGGCATGGACTTGGAAGAAACGTTGTACATCTACTGACAAAAAAATGTTTGCTAATCTGGCAGAGACTTCGTGTAGACGGAGTGCTAATATAGATCGGGCAACAGGTGATGAGCATGAGTGTGATTGTGGCAAAGAAGTGGTCATGATAGGTGGCACAGAGCAGAGATCATGACATAGCCCCCTCCTCAAGGTCCAGCTACTGATGGACCTCTGCGTTGATCTGAGTGGGAGTGATAGAAATTCCAAACCAGGGTCTTATCCAGAATGGTTCAGGCAGGAACCCATGAATGTTCCTCTGGGCCATAACCCTCTTAATCTATCTGATAATGGAGGCCCTGACCCCAATTTTGGAAGTGAAGGGGTCTCCAGACAGTAAATGGTAGATGGTAAATGGACTGTACTTATATAGCGCCTTTCTATCTTATTTCAAGATACTCAAAGTGCTTTACACTACAATCTGTGTCCTCATTTACCCATTCATACAGCACTCTACTAGATCTCTACAAAGCTAATTGAACAAATCATTCTAATGAGACTAATCAGTACTTTAGATCACATTCATACACTGATAGGACACACATCAGAGGCTATGAGGGGTTCAGTGTCTTGCCGAGGAACACTTCAGCATGTGACTGCTAGTGGATTCGAACCCCCAACTCTCGCATTGGAGGACGACTGCTCTAACCACTCAGCTATAGCCGCCCCAGTGTGGGCAGGAGAAACATCGATGGGTCAGGCAGGAGGAGGGGATCTGGAGGAGGATCCAAAAAAGAACGGATCCAGAGGCTTAACCCGAGACACATGAAATGTGGGGTGTATCCTCAAAGAATGAGGACACTGTAGGCGGACTGCCAACAGGTTCACCACTTTATAAATGGGAAAAGGAGGTGCCTATTTACATTTCTCCACATGGAGAAAAATGTCCATAGTGGATAGCTAGATGTTTTGACCCACTTGGTAAGGCAGAGTTGGGGTACAACATCGGTTGGCACTCCTGGAATAGACTGTGGACATTTTGAAGAGGGTCTTTCTGGCTCTTCTACAAACTTGCTGACATATGTGGGCAGATGTGGCTGAATGGTTACAGCAGTCGTCCTCCAATACGAGAGTTGGGGGTTCGAATCCACCAGCAGTCACATGCCGAAGTGTCCCTGGGCAAGACACTGAACCCCTCATAGCCTCTGATGTGTGTCCCATCAGTGTTTCAATGTGAGTTAAAGCACTGATTAGTCTCATTAGAATGATTTGTTCAGTTAGCTTTGTAGAGATGTAGAGTGCTGTATGAATGGGTAAATTAGGGCACAGATTGTAGTGTAAAGTGCTTTGAGTATGTTGAAATAAGATAGAAAGGTGCTATATAAGTACAGTCCATTTACCATTTACCTTCTGTGGGCAGCCGTATGAGCAGAGGGGACCTCAGCTACTTTCCCCTAAATGGTGATCACCGGTGGCTAGAATCTGTAGACGGTTAAAAACAGGGACAGATCAGTGACAGAGGATGACAGGGAGTTCAGTGCCTGCTCCACCCAGGGAAGTTTATGCCACCACTTGGGTGGAACCTCTGCACATAGGAGCTAAAGCTTGGTCTCTACTTCCTGCTTTACCCTCTCACTATGTCCATCAGTCTTTGGGTAAAAACCAGACGAGAGGCTGCCAGAAATGCACAGAAGATAACAGAACTCCTTCCAAAACCGAGAAATGAACTGGGAACCCAGACCTGATACAATGTCAGCAGGCAGACCATAGAGGCAGAACACCTCTCGGACCAGGACCTCCCTCTGTTCCTTGGCAGATGGGAGTTTATTTAAGGGGACAAGATGAACCATCTCAAGAGAACCTATCCAAAATGTTGAGGATGACTGTGTTACCACCGGAAGAAGGCAACCTAGTGATGAAATCCAGAGATGTGAGACCAGGGCCAGGACGGGATGGGGAGTGGTCACAGGAGGCCAGCAGGAGGTCATCAGGAGGTCTTGGATGGGAACATTGATTGCAAGAGGAGATGAACTCCTTGACATTCTTGACCAAAACTGGGCCTTCACCACCACCAGTGTCTTATTAATTCCTGGATGACAGAATAGTCAAGACTTATGGCAGAGCTTGAGTACCTGTTCCACATTGTCCTTCAGGATGAACATATGATCCTTGGGGCAATCAGTAGGTGGTGGATGATCATGGTGAGCCTGTCTGATCTCCTCCTCCAGTTGTGTGATCAAAAGTTGAACCATCTCCAGTAGAATAAACTACTCTCAGCTAGTCTGATACTTCTCAAACTTATCCTGAATCCTAGAGAGAGTGTAAGGCTTGGCATTCTTAGTTCCGTGTCTGTAAGAGAGGGAGAAGTCCAACCGGCAGAAAAACAGAGCCCACCTGGCCTACCTGGGGTTTAATCTCCTTGCTGTATTTATGTACTCCAGATTTCTGTGATCAGTCCAGACCCTAAATGATCCTTTGGCACCCTATATTGAGTGTCTCCACTCCTCGAGAGCCATCTTGACAGCTAAGATTTCTCACTCCCCGACATCGTAGTTGTGTCCTGCAGCAGATAGGCTTCTGGAGAAAAAGGCACATGGGTGAATCTTTCCATCAAAAAAAACATTGGCCGAGGACAGCACCTACCCCTGTATTAGAGGCAATCCACTTCCATGATGAACTGTCGGTAAAGGTCGGGAGAATGAAGAACAGGAGCAGAAGCAAACATTATTTTAAGCTTGGCAAAGGTGGCCTCAGCTCGGTCGTTCCACAGAAACCTGGTTTTGACTGAGGTGAGAGCATGCAGAGGGGTCAAGACCTGGATATAGTTTTTGATGAATTTGCAGTAAAAATTAGCAAACCCTAGAAACCTCAGAAGCTGCTTTCTGTCCTTAGGGGTAGGCCAGTCCAATACCATAGAGACTTTGGCGAGATTCATAGATACCTGATTAGGTTTGATAATGAAGCCCAAAGATGAGGTTGGTGGTTTGGTGGAACTCACATTTCTCTGCTTTGACAAAATTATTATTTTGCAGACTAAGTAAAACAGACCTCACGTTTCCTGTGGGATGGTAGATCCTTAGTGAATATAAGAATATTGTCTAGATAACCAAAGACAAACTGATTTACCATATCCCTGAGAACATAATTCACAAGGGCCTGGAAAATGGCAGGAGCGTTAGACCAAAAGGTATTACCAAATACTCATAGTTCCAGTTAGGCATGTTTAAAGCCATTGTCCACTCATTCCCTTTCTGATGCAGACCAGATGGTAAGCGTTTCTCAAGTCTAATTTAGTAAAAACAGTGGAACCTTGGATGAGGTGAAAACCACATGTCAAGAGAAATACTTGTTCTTGCGAGTGATCCTGTTCAGACCTCGGTAATCAATATAGGGCCTTAAGGAGCCATCCTTTTTGCCCACAAAAAAGAAACCCGCCCCAGCAGGGGATGCAGATGGTCTGATGATGCCAGATTGAAGAGAATTATTGATATACTTGTGACTGTCAGGACCAGACAATGAATACAGGTGGCCTCTATGAGGTGCAGAGCTGGGGAGTAGGTCAATGGAACAGTCATAGGATCTGTGGGGAGGTAAGGAAGTAAGTAAGCCTTAACTTTGTTTAAAATCTCCTTGAGGTCATGATACTCTGAGGGGACCTTAGAGAGGTCTGGATATGTCTCCACAGTAGTATCTGAACATAGTGTATGAGATACATCATCAAAAAGGTAGGATGACAAGCATCCTTCAGACTACCCCACAATATCCTTACCCCACCAGTCAATGCATGGGCTATGTAGGTATAGCCAAGATGTTCCTAAAATGACTGGGAGCTTGGGAGAATTGATAAATATATGGTCTCATGATGATTCCCTCTGATTCCCCCATGAGAGACAAAACAACTGGTTCAGTTTTATGGTTGGTAACATATGTCTGTCTAAGACTATCACCTTGTGACCCTTAGCAGGGGGATCTATTCTGATGCCAAGCATGTTAGCAAACTCAAGATCCATAAATTCATTGTCTGTACCAGAGTCAATGAACACTAAAAGAACATGTATTTTACCTCGTATCTTGATTATAGGCAAGGCAACATGAGAGATGATACCATACCATACCAATTTATTTATAGAACACTTAAAACAGCAACAAGGCCAACCAAAGTGCTGTACAAAATAAATTAAACATGCACAGCTGACAGGAAAACATAAAATAAAAATACAGATACAAATAGCAGCAGAAGCTAACTAAAATGGCCAACAGTGTCGAGTACAGACCGGACCAAAACAAATCACACCGTGTTAAAGGCAAGAGAATAGAAGTGGGTCTTCAAGCGAGACTTAAAGACTGAGAGTGTGGGAGCCTGTCGGACACTCAGTGGCAACTCATTCCACATTCGTGGACCTGCAACAGAGAAAGCCCTGTCACCTCTGAGCTTACGAC